CTTCTCGATGATTTTAGGTGATAGATTAAAAAAGGTTTTGACCAGTTGACCATCACTCATTTTTAGTTTATGATCCTGAATTCTAATATTATATACATGCGTGTGTGTGTGCAAGAGAGCAAGAGAGAGTTCCCTATTCACTTTCTTCACACCATGCATGATTTTATTCACTTCTACAGCATCTCCTTTCACTAGCCTTTATGCTAAACTGAAAAGCCCAAATACTGTCTGTAATCTTTGCTCACAGGGAAATTGCTCCAGTCCCTCGATCATATTGGTCACCCTCTTCCCTTTTTCCAGCCCTGCAGCCTCCTTCTTCAGGCACCAATGTTTCTGATGTGGCAGCAACATGGAATTTTATAAGGGAAGCATATATGACCGTTACGGTTTTATTTTCAGTTCCTTTTCTATTCACAGAATCAGCCTTTTTCAAAACAATAATCACACGTTGCGTTGACAATATTTTCATCCAACTTCGATATACCCCCATGTTCCCTTTCTTGGCCAGTTGCTGCCAGCTTGGAATCCCACTACTATACATGTGAAACTTGGCTTTTTTTGTGTGTGTCCCCATCCCAATATGCATCTCTTTACAGGTGTTTATATTGTAACCTATTTGCTATTTTAATGCTGATTCTCATAGTCTAAGAATCAGGGGAATTTTATTGGGACAGTTGGCCATCTCAGTTCTTATGCTTAACTGCCAATAATTTACTAGCAGACTTGAAAAACATCAATCCTAACTAAGGGCCTTTACAGACTGCCAGAAATAATGCAGCTTGAGGCTAATTTAACTGTCCTGGCTCAGTGCTAAGGAATCATGGGAACTGTAGTTTATTGTGGCACCAGAGCTCTCTGACAGAGAAGGCTCAATGTCCCAGAAAAAATACAGTTCCCATGATTCCCTAGCACTGAGCCAGGACACTTAATCAAGAAGTATATAATCAATACATAAAAGTATGTATAATTTATATATGTCACGGTACAAAGAAAACAGAGTCTTAGAGTAATTATACGGGGGGTGGGGGTGGGGAGGCGGCAGAGATGGCAAACTGGAGTATACCTACAAGGCTCCTGAGGCAGGGATCCCCTTGCTTTGCTCTGCCTGCAGTTGCTGTTGGGCACCTGTCTCCAGGTTCCTGAGAAAATATTATAAGAACAAGCAGGTATGTATATGTATGTGCATGTGTGTGTGACAGAGAGTACCAATAAGGTCTGATAAGGAGTGGAAATATTATTGTGAATAATTATGAATGCTGAGGGAAGCAATGTGGAATTCATGAAGGGAAATGGCTTCCATATCTTTGCCTTAGGGAAAGAGATAGGGTAGCATGTTTAAATTTACTGAAATTTACCTTAGCTCACTCCTTTTCATTTCAGTGATGTTACTAAGGACACAGAGAAACCAAAATGCCCTTTATATCAAAAAAGGACCCACAGAATAGTTGGCATACTGGATCCTGGGAGAGGAATGATCCCACTACCCTCCCCACTGACTCCAGACATAGCCAAGGAATGGGGACAGGGTACACACACACACGCACACAGAAATTCCTCACACTTCCTTAGGAGAAACTTTAAGGAAAAAATGGCTGCAAAGATTCTCAGGGCAAAAAGATGTGATGGCTATGCCACAGAAAGGCAATTATACCAAAGAAAAAGGTACATGAAATGTCTCTGTGAAGAGATAAGTAATACTGCAAAATATTAGAGAACACATGCTGAGAAGTACACGTGTGTGTGTGTGTGTGTGTGCGTGCGTGCATGTGTGTGTAAACCCCCCCCCCAAACAATGTTACAGACTGAAACAGGAAAGATAAAATTAGAACAAGCCAACACTCTTCCTTCTGTAATTCCAGCCCTCCTTCCTTCCTGCTCTGTTCCTGCCTTGGATCACCTGGGGAGGGTCACCACAAGGGAATGGAACAGCAGCGGCTGTTGCTACTGCTCCAGTACTCTTCCATGCTCAGATGGACAGAAAGCACTCCAGATCTTTCACTGGGAAAGCAACTACTCTGTAACACAGTTTTCTAGTTATTAGAGATTTTAACTTGTCTTATTATTATTTTTAATCCCAGATAATTCCTGCTACAAGTCTCACATGCTAGTTACTGAAGTTTTCAGCTTTGTCCAAAGCATGGACCTAAGGGTACAAATGCTTCAAGGATTAACAAAAAGTGTAATACCCCCTTGAGAGAACTCAGCATAAGGATATCAATATGAGGTATCCTTCTTAAGCCTTTGAGTGAAGCAACCCCTTTCTCTAAACTGGGATGTCCGCATGTCACCTCTATAGCCACCACACCATCTCTTTCCCTCACAATTTGCTACAAGAGAAAAGCAGGAGGAATCCAGGTCTACTCTCTGTGGACCCAATTTCCAACTGAATGCCATCTTTTCCTTCCCCAGCAGGCAGTTTCTCAATGTTTTTGATCAGGAGCTCCCTTCTAAACATATCTTCCCATAGCTGCCCAACAGTGACATTGTTTTAGGCAAGCAAGAATACACACCTCTCCATACTGCTTCTATATTTGCTGCTCCTTGGCAGCTTCCATGTGTAGCAAAGCATTGCCTGCTACAGGATCCCCCCTCCTCTTGGACCTTCACACCCCTCCTTCAAGTGCCACCTCCTATCTCCTCCTCCCATGGCAATTCATTCTTGCATCTGGAGCCTAAACATCCCCTTGCCCCTCTTTCTGATTAACCTCGTTGTTGTCATTCTTGCATGCCTTCAAGTCATTTCTTAAGCCAAGATAATTTGCAGCCCTTAGAGGCAAAGATAAAACATTTCCAAGTCTTCCAAGTCTCTCTTGTTCTTTCCCGTACACAAAAACACACTCCAATTATAAGGCTCTACAGACAGAGGGTGTACTTTAGAGGAAAGACAAGGAAAAGTTGCTTGTGAGCGTATGCTGTCAGGTGAACCGTGCACTACTTTTTACCACTGCAGGTGTATCTCCTAAGGATGTCACTTTTCAGCATGTTGCAGATCTATGGAACAGCAGATTATTTCACATAGGCAGACCCCACCTGAGCTGGCCTCTTGAGGGTGACACCTGTTGTATCCCTTCAGCCTCACCTTGGTTATGGAGCAAAGAATTACTGAGATAAAAGACTATATACTATCACCAATATTATTAAAATAAACACAGCAGCTGATACCAAAAAAGCATCCCTAGCAAAAAGGAATTCTGGTGTCAGTGGACCATCTTTATCTAGTAGAACTAATCTTTTTTTTTAAGGGGGGGGCACTTCTCTCCTGTAATAAGACACCCACCCTTATCAGATTTTCCCTCTCAAACTGTGCTCCATCTTTCTCAGACAGCCTTTTTATTGCTGCACAAATGGAGCTTAAAGACTTACAGATGCTATTCCAAAGAGCAGATGGGAACTCTAAAGCCCAGTTGATTCAAAGGTGCATCTCTTTCTGATCTATTGCCAGACAGAGCAGAGTTACACCTTTGGTCAAGTCGTTGGGAAAGGTTGAACAAGCAATCCTTCCTGCCTCATCCACTTGCTGTGATCCATCTGGGGCAGTCCAGAGGATCGTCGCTTTCAGTGTGCACTTGACAATTAAGTGCAACAATGTTCACGGGAAGATGAATTTGCAGTGTCCACTCAGACAAATACAACAGAGGAAAACCCACTACTTCCACTGATGGCACATGAACAACTGATGTGATTCTGTAA